TCCCTTTTTACAAATGATATTTAAAAAGCAGAACTCAAAAATACAAGATCATATGTGTAATAAAACACACTGGTGAAGTAATTACACTGCAAGTGTAATAAAATAACATGAAAATTAATTAAAAATTAAATGTTACTAATATTTTCCCACAACAACGTCAGAAACATCAAACTTTCCATATTTGGCACCTAACTCAACACAGCTCTGCATCAAATTGAGAAGCCCTTTATTTTCAACAGATTTGAATGAGTGGTAACCATCAACACAGAAAAAGATCTGTCTATGCTTCAACATCATTAATTCTTGAGGAGACAGTTGAATTTTTCGTTTCAAGCATTGCTGGATTTTCAACTGTGACTTTGGCAAGACTACAGCACAATGTTTAATATGTTCTTGCTGATTTTTAGTGCCAAAGTTTTTACCTGATGAATCTTTAAACTGATATACCTCATTGCACTTAATACAAGCACAATAGTAATTCACGGGAATTTCGCTTTCATCATTTTCCTTTTTTTGAAAAACCATGTGAAATTTCTGCCAGATTTTTGATTTTAAATTTGTGGGTGCTTTTAATATATACCACCCTGTTTTTTCTGGAAAGAATAAATATTTATGATTCTGAACTTAGCCACCAGCCACAATGACCGAAAATATTATTAATTGCGGCCTCAAAAAAAGATTTCTACAACTTATGTAGAATTAAATTACCTTTCTAACAATATATCAGCCACTGAAAAAAACAGCCTTCCAGGGTGTTCAAAACACGAAAAACAAACACTTCATTGTGCATCGAATCACAAAAATATTTTTTTTCACCATTCATAATTGCGGCCTCAAAAAAAGATTTTTTCCAATGATGTAGAATTAAATTACCTTTCTAACAATATATCAGCCACTGAAAAAAACAGCCTTCCAGGGTGTTCAAAACTCGAAAAACTAAAACATTTACATTGTGCATCAAATCACAAAAATATTTTTTTTCACCATTCATAATTGCGGCCTCAAAAAAAGATTTCTACCACTTATGTAGAATTAAATTACCTTTCTAACAATATATCAGCCACTGAAAAAAACAGCCTTCCAGGGTGTTCAAAACACGAAAAACTAAAACATTTACATTGTGCGTCGTATCCCAGCGACTGAAACAGAAAGATATCGCTGGTCAAAATTAAATTTTACTCGCAGACATGGTGGTCGGTACTATTGGTCTGCTATCATCGCTTTTATTTCATTATAAAAATCATTATAAAACGTCAACCCTAGGCTGACTCTTTCACTTTATTTTATTGTGAATAAATGGATAAAAAAAAATTGAATTACACGTTCTGCTAGCCTGTGTATGCGTGGGTGTGTTTGTTTATGTATTATGTTTGTGTTTGTATGTGTTTGAGTGTGTATTGTATGTGTCAATAATTAACAAAATAACCCAACGATGTCTTTAACAATTATTTCAATGATAAATTTAATTGACTTCAAATTCAACAATGTTCGTTTATGTCCATGTGCGTTTTATTCAATGGGCTTTTTTGGTTGTGCTATTTTTTCAGTTGAGTAGCATCGATTTATGTTTTTTAGTATTGAATTTTAAGCGGTGTGCGCTTGTGTATGTGTGCCCTTTTTATTGCAGCCAATCGCACAACGTAGTTCATCATTAGGTTAGTTGAGAGCGGTGCCATTGGTTCTGCATGCATTATGCCCGAACCAATGATTACAGTTTATAATTTTCCCATTCATACCAATATATGTTTATATATGTGTGTGCGTGTGTGAGTATGTATGTACGTACGAATGTATGTTTGTAAATAAAAAAATTTGCGAAGCCTTTTGGCAAAAATATTGAAGATAATTATGTATTCCAACATGTTATCTTGTGAAGCATTTTTTAAATTTTTGTTATCTAATAATTTAAAAATCGATGATGTAGAGAATAATTACCGCTCGAAACATTCGATCTATGGTCAGGCTTGCCTTTTTTTTAAGAAAGAAAATACGCTCAATCGTCGTCGTAACTTTTATGATTTTTGGAGAAAGAACATAGGAACACTGCTTGAGTTGAACAAATCAAGTAAAAATTCTTTCATCGATGCTTGCGTAAATCAGCAAGATGTGGAAATTGAAGCTGCCTGTTGTCAAATCATCATTCCTGATAAGGCAACTGAACCTTCTACGACAGTAACTGTTACCGAGCGTAGGAGTGTGGTGAATGATTTTCCTGCAATGACGTCTGACTCAGTTTCAGTGGCGGTTGTGGGTAAAACATTTGGTGATAAATACTACATTAATTCACAATGTACGGGCATTTGTTTTTTTGACCGAGGTGAAGACAACAAGTTGTTATTCAATGTTACAGATGAAGTGAAGTACCAATGGATAAACAATGTTGTGATTAACTATGAGTATGATGAACAAGAGGTTGAAGATGTTAGAAATTCTATTAAGGAGTTGATGAAAACTGAAGAAGTGCAACAAACATTAATACTTTTTGACCCGAATGTATTTCCGTTTGCTAGGTCCGAAAGATCAGGTTACGAATATTATATCTTTGATTACGTAAACTTTTACATAAAAGTAAGTGATTGGGATTTTTTAATAAATTCAACAAATGTTTATAGAAACCATTTCTTGCTAAATTTATTGATTCCTGTTTGCAATCCATGTGTGTTGAATTTTAAAAAAATAACGGTGAGACCTAAGCAAATTGTTGCGTACATTTATTGCTCATTTAATCATTGTAGATTATTTAAAATGCAAATCAAATCACCCAGCCCGTCTGATTCATTGGTCAATTGTAAAATTTTAACAAACATAAAGTACTATTTTCACGTAGGAAAAGGAATACGACAATTGAGAGGTTTAGAAAGAAATCACCAAAAAAGAAAACTGGCTAATAAGCTACCGACACTTGTCCGAATGGACTGTATTAATGCCTCCGATGATAATACAGTGCATCAAGGCAACATGATGCAAATTCACTCAAATGACGTTTTAGCTAAAGCTAGATCTGAGTCTTTGAGTGTTGACGATGAGGATAAAGATGACGTTTTTGATGTAATTTTAAAGCTAAGAAATGAACTACTTGCTTCAGATAGTGACAGATTCATACAACATGTTAGTGAGCCGTTATGCATCGTTTCATATTCATACAAACAGGTTGAAGTTGCTAAACGAAACAAAAAAAAGGACGTATTGCCAGTGTTGTATTTTGATTCGACAGGATCGGTGATAAGAAGGACCAGCTCAAAGCAGAAGAGAATTTTTTATTACTCTGGTGTTATTACAGTTGATTTAGAAAAAAAAAGAGTAACGAGTATATGCAAAGAAATAGCACTCAAATTACCAAAATTGACCAAAAGAAAACAGTTAAAAGTGCAAAACATTTTTGAAGAAAAGTGGGGTAAAAGAAAACCCAAAAAAAGATCTTTCTTCAATGGATGCTTGTTGCCTTCCAAAATTAAACAAATTATGAGCAATGACGTGGTTCCTAATATTAGTGAAGTAAAGGTTGTTGAAAATATGTTATTAAATTCAAAAGACAATGTGATTCGACAACTAACATTAAACAAAACTGTTACTACTTTTCCAAACAAATTGGTCTCTGATCCACAATTTTACATGCACAATCTTGGTGACAACGGAACAGCAATGGCAAAAATTGGTGATCTAATATATTTTGAAGATTTCCGAACACTCAATGGAAAAGAATGGTTGTCAACAACAATAGTTGATATTTTACTGGAAAAAACCTACATCATGAAAAAATCGATTTATGTCCCAAGCGGCCTTAGTACCGCTGCGTTAAACAAGGGTTTTAATGATAAATGTTCTATATTATCAATGCTTTTGTTTTCTAAAAAATACACTTTCATACCTTATTTGCTTAATGGTAACCACTACTGTTGTTTTGTTGCTGATGCTGAAAAGGGTACGGTTTTTTTTTATAACCCGATTATTACGGGAAATATTTGTGAGGAAAAATTACAATCTTTGTTTTTTTCATTTCTAAAATGTTATTGCAGCTTTGTCAATTGTAATGCTAATTGGATATTTACGCCACAGCCAAAATCATGTGAACAAAGAGACACATGGAACTGTGGCATATATTTAATTCGTATGTTAAGAATGCTAGATTCTTGTCAGCAGTTAACTGAAACATTTGATCCAGATGATCTACGTTACACTTATCAACAAGAGGTGTTGCAATCATCAGAAGACATGACTAATTTATGTCTTTACTGTGGGTGTGCTAGCACTCATCAATTAACAGATGAATGGGTTGAATGCCAAATTTGTCAAAGATGGATTCACGAACTTTGCTCTCAAATAAATTTTAAAAAAGCAGAGATACATAACGTGAATTTTATATGCAAGTATTGTGTTGAATATAATAAACATTAATAAAGTATACATGAAAACTTGGAAAACGTATGTACTACTAAAATCTATTGCAGTGAATGTAATAATAATTTGGCCTGATAAATGAATGAACATTAAGTGTATTAAAAAATGGCCTAAAAATTAAATTTATGGCATTATGCATAATAACAAAAAATGGCCTAATAACTGGATCTGTACAATAATGTACAATAAAATTGGCCTAATAAATGGATCCATAACGTTAAGTATAATAAAAATTTGGCCTCGTAAATGGCTTAATAACAAATGCTTATGCTTAATAACAAATGGTCTAATGAATGGATCAGTAACATAATGTAAAATAACTAATTGGCCTTGGTTGGTTGAATCCCCAACGTTAAGTATGACAAAAAATTGGCATGATAAATGGATCTATAACAGGCATATTAAAAAATGGCCTAAAAAAAGGATCAGTAACATAATAAAAAAATGGCCTAAAAAATTATTCAATGACACAAAGTTTAACAAAACATGGCCTACTAAATTCATTCAAAGTTAAACAAATAGCTTACAAAATGAATCCATAATATGAACGATTATGAATAAAAGGGTTAATAAATAGATCTATAAAATAAAATATTTACTAGGGTATGTATTTGCGCGTGTGTTCCTGTGTTTGATCTAATGATGATTGTGTAGGTTCAGATTCAGATATTCAGGTTAACATAGACAAGGAGACTTTGTCAGGGCAGTGCATCATCAGCGTTCGAAAAGTGCATCCGAGAAAGTGCATCATCTTTCGAAAAGTGCATCCGGTAATAATTGCACCACATGCAAATCAACTTACCACCAACATTACGATCCCATCAAACATTCATTAACGATCATCCGATAAACAACCAAACAAACAACAATCATAACCATGAACTATCTGAATGAAACATCATTACTACCACATATAATAATATTACATGATCTATTTTATTCTATTTTATTGTTGATTTATATTCGATATCATGCATGTAAACAAATCTTGCTTATAATAATGCACGTGTATATATGTATGTATCAACTATATCTCATAATCATGAACATTATATTACATAATATATATATATCATAAGTGCATCATCATCGTTCGAAAAGTGCATCCGAGAAGTACATCATCATCGTTCGAAAAGTGCATCATCATCGTTGTAATAATTGTGAGAAGAAAACTATAATGACAATATTAGTTCACAAAAATTACTACATTATTAACACTTTGAATATTTTATTTTAATCATTGTCAATAAAAGATATAAGAATTTATTTGAAGTATTGTGTTTTTATTATTAAAATATTGAATGTGAGTAACTGCTGGTGTATATATAAATGTGTATATAATAAATAAAAAGTATATAATAAATAAATAACCAAGTAAAATATATATATATGTGTGTGTGTGCTATTGTTATTGTAAGTGTTGGTATTGTTGCTATTGTTGTTGTGGTTATCTGATTCTGCGGTGTCGTTATCGTTATAGGTGTATTATCCTCTTTGCTTGAGTCTGTTGATAAGTTTGAAGCTACTCTCTTTGAAGTCAATGAACAGTGATGAGATGGATGGGTAGCGTTTGATTTGTGATGTGACGATTGATTTGAAGGTGTGTGGTGGATGGTGTGAGTTGTGGTGTAGTAGATCGAAAGTGTTGGTTTGATTGAAGAATGGTTTTGAATGTAAAAAGNGGTGAGTGTGGGATATTCTTAAAGATAGTGGTGTCAAGAAGAGTTGATGTGTTCAGAGTGTGTTTCAAAGGTTAGTTTAAAGCCATTATTTTTTNTGAGTTGTTGTGTAGTGCCGGTGAATGTGAAAAATATGTCAGACTCAAGCAAAGAGGATATAATTACCAAAAACTCAAAAAACATTTCAAAGCCATCGCAGAGCAATACACAAAGATCTCACCAAAACCCAACAACAACAACAACCCGAACAATGAAAACAGGAACACCAACACAACCACTGACGACGACACCGACACACAAACTTCTAACATCACATGCGACAATGAAGAAGATGTAGAAGATAACGACAAACCATCTACAACACCTTCATCAACGAAATTCTCACCAACTATAACGACCCAACCAATAGCAACACCTATAACGATAACGACACCGCAGAATCAGATAACCACAACAACAACAATAGCAACAATACCAACACTTACAATAACAATAGCACAACAGAATCTGATAACAACATTACAAATGAGATGACAAACAACCAAGACGCCAAGGAGAAGAACAACAACGACAACCAGAACAACTACAACGAGAACATTCGTCAAACCGGAAACAAAAACAACAACAACAAATTCATATTCGTTCGACCATACAACAGACAACTTAACTCATTTTACGAAGAAATCATCACCACTCTAATCCTACATGGATGCATCCAAAACCACAACGACATCCTACAAGCATACACAATCAACAAACCACTACACCGCATACTATTTAAACACTAAACACATAAACACACACCCATACTCACACATCCAACATCGTAATAATAACCATCGTTAACTAATAATAAATATAGGAACATAGAATGATAGAATCCAGTCATCTTGAGCCATCGAATCAATACAGAAACAACACGTCAACCACCAACCAACCAACTACGACAACCACCAACAGTACCAACTATCTCAACATCAACTCGGAAGCATGATGATGTACTCAATCGTATTCAGGCTGTACTATATATTTTTACTCGTTCACACACTAATTATGTACCACCATCGATAACATCACACACGCCCAACGGCCATGCATAACACATCAGATAGCCTAATATCCTATTGTCTATACGAACATAATTATAACCCCACAGTAATTATGTGTCTGTATATGTATGTCTGATAACGACGGTAATGATGATGAAAGTAATGATGATATCGATGATGTATATATATATATATATATGTGTGTGTGTGTACAAAATTTGTATATATATATATACACGCAAATGCTCTCATTCCGATTCGCAGATCAGTGTTATTTAATGATGGCCCCGGACAACAACAATAATACTATGGATGTAAATCAGGATCCGGACAACAACAATAATACTATGGATGTAAATCAGGATGGTCATCAAGATGAAAGTTAGCAACTATTACTGTCTGTTACATTTACTTCAAAAGTTTTAAAAATAGATATTTCAAGTACATGTAATTGATATAAATTTTTCAAATTTTTTATTTATTGCTAATGATTAACTATTAACCTATGTTGCAGATGAAGGCCCGAAAACAGAAACAGGTACAGGTTAAAATTGGCAATCAATATGCTTAATCAATATTTTATATTAAGCTATTAATTTCAATAATATTATAATAAAAATGATTATAAATTTTATCCCAGTCTATTTTATATTTAGGAATGAATCATAACACCATTTAAAATTTATAATGTTAAACAATTTAAATATTTTTAAAAATAATTTTATAAAAATTGTAAAGAAACCAGTCAAAGAATAAGAAGTGGTCAAAGGGGATGGAGAGGACAAAGACAAGCAGGTGGATGGAGAGGACAGATAGGTGGATGGAGGGGACAGAGAGGCGGTGGAAGGAGACAGGCAGGTAGATGGAGGGGACAAGTAGGTGGATGGAGAGGACAAGTAGGTGGATGGAGAGGACAAGTAGGTGGATGGAGAGGGCAGACAGGTAGATGGAGGGAACAGACAGGTAGATGGAGGGGACAGACAGGTAGATGGAGGGGGACAGACAGGTAGATGGAGGGAACAGACAGGTAGATGGAGACAGGTGGATGGAGAGGGCAAGCAGGTGGATGGAGAGGGCAAGCAGGTGGATGGAGAGAGCAAACAGGTGGATGGAGAGGGCAAGCAGGTGGATGGAGAGGGCAAGCAGGTGGATAGAGAGGGCAAGCAGGTGGATGGAGAGGGCAAGCAGGTAGATGGAGAGGGCAAACAGGTGGAGGGAGGGGACAGAGAGGCGGACGAAGGGGACAGAGGGGTGGTTGCATAATTATCAATTTTTAATGCTCATTATGAAAATTACTTTATTAAATTAGAAATGGATGTTTTTATTATTTGAACAGTTCATTTTTTACATTTAGTAGATTTAAAAAAATGCACTATGTGTTCATTGTGTATGTTTTTTTACAAATACAACAGAAAAATAATATTAATTATTTAATATTTACACCAACCAAAATTTAATTTACTAATAAATAATAGAAATTAATAGGATTATCAAATACACACAACTACAGTATTATATATTTTTATAGCATCGATATATTTATATAACTATATAAATATATTTACATGTATATATGTATCAACAATATCTCATAATCATGAACATTATATTACACAATTATATTTATGTAATTATATTTTTGCTCGTCTGTGCGTTGAAAAATGTCCAGTTGAATGCCGACGTGGTTGAGTGACGTTACAGCAAATAAAATCAAATTTAGTAATACGCTTGGCTTTTGGTGTCATTCGTCAATAATTTGGTTTTAACATTATATATATATATGTATGTTTATATGTATATGTATATATAGGTATATATTTATATGTGTATATATATATAATTTTATAATTTTACTCTCAACAATACATAATGCTAATACACACTAATTATGTACCACCATCGATAACATCACAAACGCCCAACGGCCAAGCATAACACATCAGATAGCCTACGTGAATATCCTATTGTCTATAAATGATACTGTACTTCCAAATATGTCTGCATATATGTCTGTATGTATGAATGTTTTATGTTCTACATATGTTTTATTATATATAATATCGATAATCACTAATACGGTATAATTCATTTTCTCTTTAAGCTATTTCTTCACTATTATTCACATGTCATTTTTTCCATAAATAATATATGTATTATTATTTATATGACATGCATAACATCATTTGCAATCCTGTGACTATGTATGTGTATGTTCATGGTCATCTTCGTTATTGTACATTTCTACGGACACCTAGCGAATTACTTTATACAAAATATTGCATATATACACATATATGCTCATTATGAAAATTACTCTATTAAATTAGAAATGGATGTTTTTATTTTTTGAACAGTTCATTTTTTACATTTAGTAGATTTTGATTAAACATTTATGTATTATATTATGTATTATTTCATATTAATATATTCAATCAATCAATCAATCTTCGTTTTGCGTCCAGAGACCAATATATTCATATTAATATATTATATTATTATATCGTTATATTAACTATGTCATTTTTTTATGTATGTCATTCATTTCTCAATAATTATCTTAATATGGTTTAGAATTTTAAATAGAATTGTGTTTCTATAAATATAAATGTTAACAATCGTTAGTGATTTAAAAAAATGCATTGTGTGTTCATTGTGTATGTTTTTTTACAAATACAGCAGAAAAATAATAATTATTATTTAATATTTACACCAACCAAAATTTAATTTACTAATAAATAATAGAAATTAATAGGATTATCAAATACACACAACTACAGTATTATATATTTTTATAGCATCAATATATAACTATATAAATATATGTACATGTATATATGCATACCTGTTAGCTGCTACTTAAACAGCATATAACATAATATAGCATATAAACTTATAATAACATGCATACATGTCAGCTGCTACTTAAACAGCATATATCATATAACATAATATAACATATATCGCATATGCATGCAGGCTTGCTGTACCCTCTCTCTTTTACGTTTATCTCTTTTAAACGTGTGTATAATTGGCTTTTTAACGTGTGTATAATAGGCATCGAAGATTGCTTATAAAATTATATAGGTCGGTCATTGTGGCTAAGTTCAGTCTCATTAAATATTTAAATACTGTATGTTCAATCAATCAATTAAATGAATGGGATTTCTAAACTTCAACAGCGCCCAACTAAAATTTGAAAAATAAACCATTTCTAGGTAGAAAAAAGAAAGAAAATGAAACATGAATATCAGGTAAATAAGTAGAATGAGCAATTGAGAAAAAATTCTGATGTCTGTAAAGTGTAACTGTAAAGACTGAAGAGATTTGAAATTATGAAAAATAACAATTAAATCTTTAAAAAAGGAATTAAAACATAAAAAATGTAAAAATGTTAATGTGAAATTTATTAGATTTTTTACTTTCGCAAACTTAGCAAATTTAAATCACACAAACCTCTCAAATGACGCTGAATTTCTTTTGATTCTGCCATACTTGTAAATAAAACTAATTTTCTCGATCGGAAAGAAGTTAACTTTTGCTCAACTCAATAATCACAAAAAGAAAGTGGAAACGATAGACCAAAGATACAATGATATTACAGCGAGATAAAATACACCGATTATTAACTAGTTAAAATGTTCGTTTAAGAATAAAAAAAATACAGAAATAAATTATTTATAATAAAATTTGAAAATTTCAACCCAACCCAACCCACACAACTTTAAAAAATTTGGACCCAACCCAACCCAACCCAACCCATGTCCACCTCTGAGTTATTATCGATTGATAAAATAGTCGATATTCATTTGTCCATTCATTGATCGTCTGATAATAGAATACCATATTTGAGATGGCATTCTTAGTTTAACATTATTTTTTGTAATTTTCTATTATTTTTTCAGAACTTGGCCAACTATATTTCACTAAAATTAAATCTTTTCAAAAATTACAAAGTTACACACTTTATTTATTTATTTGAACAAAGCACGGGCTATTGCCCATTACCGAATTTACAGGGAAAAAATACATAGTATTATACATGCATACCACGATACATTCGTACAATTGCTTCACAAGTATAACCACGAAGATAATGCATTATACCATGGCAGATTGAAAATAATTTCCAAAAACAATAAATTAACACTAACAGTGTCTTGAGTGTCACCCTAAATTTATTATGTTTTATTAAATTTGTTCAATAAGCATCATAATTTCTACGCACTGAAATAAAACATATAGTTTATAATATGTTTTATTTTTAGACTAAAATTTTTATTGGAATAAAAAATCATAAAAAATCGAATACTTGTCGTTTAAAAATATAGATTTGTAAAATATTCTGCCAAAATGTGGCAAGATGATATGAAGGTGTGATTTGTATCCAACCAAACAAATCTTTAAAAGATCAAAACTCCAGGAACACAAAATTCAACATAAACATTATTTAAGATAATTCAAGAAAAAAAATGTAAATTTGCTCAAAAAAGGAAAAAATGTATAAATATTTTTAAACAAAATGTTAAATCATTTGAAAAATTAGGAAATGATTCAAGAAACACTCCCCAATAATTTTCACTGTGGAAAATTATTGGGGAGTGTTTAGTCAATCTTATATTGTTTGTTCATATTTTAAAAATGTTGCATATAGCTTTAAAATATATTTAAATTCTCTAGAAGTTGATTTCAAAAAAGCTTTAGTGTAAAGTTACTTAACGTTATGTAACGATCGGGATTTTGAGAAAAATATTTTGTTGTTTTCATTATTCTTTAAAAATCAGGATCTGACAGACGCAGAAACTGTTACAGCATGCAAGGCAGTAGTGCAAAATTGTATGAATAAGTAAATAAATAAAAAAAACGGAGAAAGAAAAATGTTTAAACATGAAAAGTAAAATAAAATGGAATAACATAAATAATAATAATAATTAAATAAATATAAAAAAATAAAATAAATTGACAATGAAATGAAGTAATGGCATAAAAAGGTAAACTAATAGACTTGATGATTACTTAGTGAGTTAGTATTTTCCATTTAAATTTTATTAATCTTTTCAAAATTATTTAATATTTTTTTAACATCTAATATTAATTTTATAAAATTTCATATTCAGTTCAATTTAATCTAGTTTAAGTAAAATTTTAGACAATTTATCGACATTAGGACAACTGCATAAACCCACCATCGAGAGGAATATCATTAAACAACTAAAATTGGAAACAAATACACTAAAAATTTAAAGGGTAACTTTTTGAGACTTGATATACTTTAATTCGATCGATATATATTATTTGCAACACCAAAATTAATTGTCTGTACCATAACTTTTTGGCCGTAGCCAGGATTATTTTTTTGGGGGGCTGTCGGATTACATTTTTTATAATTAAAATCAAGGAAAAAACAACGAATCCATTCTAATCAGCTTTTATTTACAAAATAAAAAACTCAATAAAATTACATAAGCAAAAGTAAATTGTATTTTATTAATTTTTTAAAATATTTAAATTTAAGCGACGTGCTTTTATTCATAGCATTGATAAAAAGAGCAATGGAAAAATTGGAAAATTCGGAATTGGGTGGAATTGACATAGGAAGGAGAACTGTTAAAGATCTCAGATTTGCAGACGATATAGATCTTCTAACTTCCAGTGAAGGAAGTTTAAAGAAGCTAATTGAAACATGTTGGTGGAAAAGATCACGGGTTGCATCTCAACAAAGACAAAACGAAGGTTAAAATTACGGGGGAAAGCAGAAACAATGCGAAATTTCCGATAGAATCAGAAAAATTCGAACAAGTAGACCAGTTTGTGTATCTTAGCAGTTTTATAACCTGTGATAACAACTGAACAAAGGAAATTGACAGAAAGATAGCAATAGCCCATAGAATGTTCGCATCATTGAAGGAAATACGGAAAAGTGGAAATATATCTATAAAACTAACTTGAGAATGATAGAATCTTGCAATTTTCCGAGTTTTCTCTATGCATGTGAGACATGGAAAATAAAGAAAAGAGACAAAGACAGATTGGAAGCATTTGAGATGAAGTGTTATCGAAATTTGTTTGGAATCAGTTGAAGGCAGAAAGTAAAGAACGAAATCAACTTGGAAGACAGAAAAGTGTATATAACAAAGTCAGAGAAAGAACACATTTTGGACACATTTGTAGAATGAAAGAAGACAGATTGATTAAGATGGTACTAATGAGGAAAAGAGATTGGAAGAAAAAAATTGGTAGACCTGCAAAAAATGGATAGATGACAT